CTTTGTTAGAATACGCTCCGTATATTCATCCTCTAATAATTTAAATTGAACTGTATTTTCTATTTGCCCTTGAACCTCATCGAATTCGCCCTGTAAATGTTCTATATTATTTACCATTTCTATAGCCTGTAATAGTTCTAAATCTGAAATCGTTTCACCCTTAGTTACTTTATCATTCAATGCTAATATAAATTTCGAAAATATTGTGAGTTTGCATTTAAAACCGTCCCAGAACTGAAGTTCATGTAGCATTGTACATATCTCCTTGAGGTTGTTCGAGAACAAGACTACGTCGTCTGCGAATTTCAAATTTTTTAATCTTCTACTGTCAATATTCAGACCTTTATCTTCCCAATTAAGTTTTTTACAAGCATATTCTAGTACTGCGGTAAACAGTTTAGACGATAAGGTATCACCCTGTTGGACTCATCTGCCGATTGGGAATGATCCGTGCTTTTATGTAATTTCACCATCAGTTTCACCGACATAGTTGCGCATTCGCATTGTGTATATTGTTAATTAACCTTGTATATCGGTAGTCAATGCGGCATGCTTGTAGTGCTTCCGGGATTTTATCAAATTCTACCGTCTTAAAGGCTTTATGGAAATCTACAAAAGCTAGAACGAGTGATCGATTGTATTCGATAGTCTTTTCTATTACCGCTTTAATGCTTTGTAGGTGATCATTTGTTCCAAATCCGGTACGAAATCCCACTTGTTCTATTGACTGGAAGAAATCAAGTTTTTTCTCGAGACGATTCGTTACTAATCTTGTAAGGAGTTTTTACAGGTGACTAAGAAGACTTATAGGTCTGTAGTTTTCTAATTCATAGGGATCTCCTTTTTTGTACAATAGAATTACCTCGGCATTGTTCCATTTGTCGGCTATATTACTATCCAAAGGGTACAAAGGTTTTTACTTTCTTAAGTAGGCAAGTGCCTCCGATTTCGATTGCATCAATAACTACACAATCTTCTCCTGGAGATTTGTTATTCTTAGCTTTTCTTAGGGCAAGTTTTATTTCGTCTACTAGGATTTCCAGTAGTAGTTCTGATCCTTAGTTGACAATGCCCGTTTTCGTTGTTAATATTTCTGGTACTTGATCTTTTCTGCCATTTGCTTTGTGCTGATTCGTGTACAGCAATTTCTAGAAGTCTTTAACTATTTTAAAGGTTTCCTCTCTGTTGGTTGTAAGATGACCATTTCTATCTTTAATCTGTATTATCTGCCTTGTCTCCATTCTTAGTCTTTTTCTCATTACTTTCACTCTTCTATTGTTTTCAATGGTATGTTCGATTTGTTCTTGGTTGTATTTTCGAGTGTCTTATTTAACAGTTTTGAATATTTTAATTTTTGTAGTTCGTCGGCTTTAATTTCCATCTCTCTTGTCATTTCTCTTCTTTTCTTCATTAGTTGCCTGGTATTTTGGCTAATCATCTCTTCTTTGTCAGTCCTAGGACATAATTTGTTTTAACTTTCCAGTAAGGCATGTGTTAATTTATTATTTAAAACGTTTATATTATTTTCTGTTTCAGGACTACTAAGTATGTCGGAAATACATTGCTGAAAACTGTCTACATCTGGTTTACACATGGTTTCATCCATGGTTTTAATTTGTTCTTCTTTTTAATCATCTTATACCTCTCATTCTTGAAGTTTATTTCTATTTCACCTCGTACTGTACTCTGATCGCTACTGGTAACAAATCTTTTTAGAACCGTGATGTCTTTAACGGTCACCGTGGTGTCCCGAAATATAAACTTTAACGTTTTACGTAACGTAATTAAACAAATTTTGTCGGTCAGATAGCTCAGTGGGCTGTGCGGCTGCCTCTCATTCGCTTCACTGTCGAATGGTTCAGTGGATGTGGGATCGAGCCCCAGCTCGGTGTACAGAAAACAAAAAGTCTAACGCAGCAGTTTAAAATTCTAGATGAATCTGCGGCTTAGACTAGAATATGCTGGGATCTGATCGGCCTATGGTGGAGCAGTACGGCAAGAGATAAGGGCTTGCGGCTCGGTGATTACTCCTCCATAGATCCCTACGGGACGGGCGTAATGCCTAAAAAACCGGATATATATATATATACAGGGTGAGTCATAACTATTGGGACATAGACTAAGGACAGGTTATTTGGACCAAAATATGGCTATTGGGCCAAATACGCCTTAATAAAATGTTGCTGATAAAAAAGATACAGGGTGTTATAGTTAATTTTTGTTTTTCGTTTTTTGCTAATAGTTTCCCTGTATATTTATAAATTACTATCAAAATTGCCACAGAGGCATAATCTTAGACAAGAAATAGTATTTTATTTACAATTCCACTATCAAATCCCAAACTAATAAACAAAGTTGCAACTAACGTAAGGTTTCCATTTTGACGATAAATCAAAACTAAACACACTTTAACTTAAAAGAACTCACAAAAACTCAAATCAAATGTTCTACATGGTCTCCTCCGATTTCTATGCCTTTTCTAATTCTTTTTATAAAGGATTTTCGGACGTTAAAAAAAATATTATTCTGTTCCCTTATAAGATTAGCTGCATTTTAAATGTATCTCTAAAGTTCGTCTCGTGTATTAATTTCATTGGCACAAACTAAGGACTTCATATGTCCCCAAAAACAAAAATCTAGCGGGTTGTACTCAGGACTTCTTGGTGGCCATTGAAAATCACTGCCTCTGCCAATTCATCGTTGAGGAAATACGTCATTAAGATGATTTCTAACAGCTAATGAAAAATGAGATGTCGCTCCATCCTGCATAAACCACATTTTTCTTCTTACATCCAGTAACAGATCATCTAAAATATCACTAAGAGTATTTTCCAAAAAGAATAAATAAGAATCTCCATTTAAATTCGGAGGAAGAACATAAGGTCCTAGTAATTGGTCGCCTATAATGCGACACCAAATATTCAATTTAAACTCATGCTGAAAATATCTAGCTTTAATAGCATGCGGGTTTTCTTCTTCCCAATAATGACTATTTCGCCAATTAAAAACCCCTCGTCTGGTAAAAGTTGCTTCGTCGGTGAACATACTATTCTTAATAAAGTGTCTGTCATTGCGATGGTTATTCAGAATACGTTGGCAAAACTGTAACCGTCGTGGAAGATCTGTTGGAAGTAAATTTTGAACAGCAGTGAAGTGATAAGGATGGAGGTTCTCTTTTTTTATAATTCTAACAATAGACGACTGACTTACTCCTGTTGCTGTTCTTGATTAAGAAAGATGAAAAGTTCATCTTCTTGATTAAGTGTGATTTGTTTCGGTCGACCACCCCGATTTTTAGTGTGAAATGACCCAGTTTCACCTAAACTACGATATAATCTTGCAAAAGTTTTGTGATTTGGTTGTCTTCTGTTTGCGTATAACATTCCATACCTTCTTACTGCCGAGCGACCGCAAAAATTTTCTTGTGCGTATATGCAAATCATATCTCGCATTTCTTCATTAGTAAAATGATTGTGACGAGGCATTTCAATTAAAAAAAGTAATGATTACTTTTAAAAAATGCAACATTACACTACACTGTCACATCAAAAATAATTTACTCTGGAACAAATGACATTTACCAACAATTATCTGACAGTCCAAAGCATACTTTTCATAAATGAAATAATATTTGAAATCCTTTTTTAAGACTCTAAGCAGTTCGACTGCGTTTTTATCGAAAACGGTTGAAATTATCATATTTAAACAAGAGTACCAATTTTACGTAAAAATGATGTTTACGTCATATTTTCTAATAAAAATTACTAAAAAGTTTCATCAGAAAAAGTTTAGACTCAATTTGATCATTAGGAATGATCTACGTGGCGCCCTTTATGACAAAACGTAACATTGTAAATAAAATACTATTTCTTGTCTAAGATTATGCCTCTGTGCCAATTTTGATAGCAATTTATAAATATACAAGGAAACTATTAGCAAAAGACGAAAAAAAAAAAATTAACTTTAACACCCTGTATCTTTTTTCTCAGCAACATTTTATTAGGGCATATTTGGCCCAATAGCCATATTTTGGTCCAAATAACCTGTCCTTAGTCTATGTCCCAATAGTTATGACTCACCCTGTATATATATATATATATATATATATATATATATATATATATATATATATATATATATATATATATATATATATATATATAATTAAACAAATTTGTCTAAAAATATTGATTTCTCTCATATTTTATATGCCTACAACTCCTAATGAATGGTTACACATTTCTTGTACTTGAATGGTTCTTACACACTTGAGGCATTCTAGTTCTTCTGCTATCAATATTCATACATTTATTTTATTTTATTTTATTATATTGCCCATATTTTGAATTCCATAACACAGGAGAGCGTTCATATAGATTACTCAGATCTAAACATTTTTCTTTGTTCCATTCATAGACATATAATGACTGTGACTGCTGCAATACAGTCGCGTTCCCCAGTGCAACAGAGAAAACTGACGTGAAGCAGTCCCTGTATCTCTGTCTAATGGACCAGGTTTATTGAACACGTGACCTTATTATTGGTCATTAAGGTCACATGGTCGATAAACCTGCTTTGCGTCAGTTTTCTCTGTTGCACTGTCAGAACGTGAGTACACTGCACCAGTCGGTCTATCTTGTATTATGTGTATGGCTCCATTCCATTTTTTTAACCTCATCACTCATCAGGTTATGAGATCATAACCTCATCAACAACTTATACTGGAGGTTATATACTCTTCTGAACACAATTATAAACACAATATTTAACTTAGACATGCCACATGAAAACAGTTTCAAAAAATTTGTTTAATCTGTAGTTGAGAACGATTTCCAAAGTGAAAATTAAACATTTATTCTTAAACAAATACGTCAAGAATGCTGAAGTATATTCTAATAGTGTAATCTGCACCTATAGAAGTGAGTTATACTTCCAATTATGAGTTAATTTAAATTTGAGTGTTAATTTTTCAATCTCCAACGTTTCACTTCTCTTTTTAGTCAAGCTTCTGCAGCCTATCCAAAAGTCGGAAATTACTACCCGGAAAACAGTTACAGACAACCGATTCAACAAGAAAATTGGCCCTCAGGTAGGCAATTACAATGTTATTTTATTAACACGATAAACGGAAATATTTCTATATAAAAAAAACATTCCCATATATTCTGTAGCGTGGGCACGATTTTTTTTGTGGGTGCCTTTTGCTTATACATTGGCTACCCTAACCGCTATCTACTAATTGATTGTAATGGATGTTTAAAGTAACGTAAAATGTAACGTTAAAATGCTTTTTTTCAAAAAATATATATTAATTTTTGCTGTAAATACTCTTACACTTAAAATTCAGGACGAAATATACTTACTTGTAATATTTGTGATAAAAAAAATAAAAAATGAACACCAGACTTTGGTGCTTTGGAAGGTTATTTCGACAGACTCACTGTGGGCACGCTACTTCATATTTGTACAAGTTAAAGTAAATGAGCTTCATTTGTAAAAATGTAAATGAGCTTCATTTGTAATAATAATCGTATTTCGAGATTGTAATAATGTAAGTTTCGTATCAACTGATCAACACCCATCAACGATTTAGGAATCTAGTTTTCTTTCTTTTTTCTTCATAATTCACTGGTGCCTACAAAGAGTAGAGCTCTTTAAGTGTGCAAAATATTCCAAAGAGTATAATTTTCAATAAATTCTGCAAAGAATATTTTTTGTATTCGTGAAAACTATCTTATAAAAATAGGCGGCAAAAAAATAAATACTCAATGCACGACAGCGAAGAATATAACTTCCTATTAAATATGGCAAGCAAGCAAGAAATTTAAGTAAACCCAGCCTGTGAGATATGTTCACCACTAAGAATTACGTTTGGATGTAACAATTCATTGGAGCGAGGTGTATTAACTCGAGTTAAAAACAGGAGTCACTACATCGCGTTCCAATGCTCCAGGCCATCCCTTTCCCCCCTATAGCACTCTGATACGCGATAGGGGCACAACTATAAACCAAATGCTTTTCGTGTGGAAGTCCTGTGTAGAAGAACTCCAAAACGATATCCTAACCTGATCAATGCAGGCTAGCGTGACGCGCTCTTTTCCTCCTTTCTCTAGTGACGTATCATCGAACTAAAATTGGTTGCTCGGATCTCGAGTCTCTGTTCCGTGGTGCACCTAGTTCGGCGACTCAGTGTCCGAGAAAGCGGGCTCTTCGTGCCCAGGTTTTTTCTTGTTCTTCTAGTTCCATGACCGTTATCGATCGTTGGATATCATGTTGGCTACCATATTCGCTAGCGTGACTTTATTGACAGCAGCTCTAAATAACGATGTAGTTGATTTTCCATACCATTGCCTTAGATTTTTCAGCCATGATGTTCTTCTTCTACCAGGACCACGATTACCTTTATTATATTGACCAGTTGTGTTGTTTGATTCAGCCGTCTAAGGACCTCCTCATTTCTAACTCTGTCGACCCAGCTTTTCGTAGTCGTCTGTATACCCACATCTCAAAGGCTGTCAAGCGTTTAAGGATAGCTTCAGTTAGAGCGCTTCCACTTCATACAGCAGGATTGGAAAGATGTAGCAAGATGTCACTCGAATTCTAAGGTCAATGCTAAGATCGTGACTGTAAAGTACGTTTCTCATCTTTACAAAGGTAGCTCGAGCTTGTTCTATTCGGCTTTTAATTTCTGCGGTTGGATCCCAGCTCTCGTTGATATTACTGCCGAGATACACGAGTTTCCAATATTTCTAGCATTTTGTTATGTTGGACTTTGTCAAAAGCCTTTTCAAACTGGATTGCACAAATGTACACATTTTGATTTATATCTCTGCATCTCTGTACTAGCACCTGCATACTAAACAAGGATTCTCTTGTACCCAAGCCACTCCTAAACCCAAATTGAGTATTGCTAATTATGTCCTCTAACAGCGTGTAAATTCTGCTGTGTGTTTCTCACAGGAAGATCTTCAAAACGTGACTCATCAGACTTATTGTCCGATTATCACGGCATGTCTTTAGACGATGTTTTTTAGGTATTGAGACAAATGTCGACGTTAACCAATCAGTTGGTAATATTCCAGTGTCATACATTCTGTTAAAGAGGTTACACAGAGCTTTAATTCCATTTTTTCCCAAAAACTAGTATTTCAGCACTTACTTCATCGGGGCCAACTACTTTTCAATTTTTTGCCGTTTGTATTGAACGTGTAACCTTACTTGTGTGTTCTGTTATAGATGGACCTGATATAGCAATCGGTGTAGAGTGTTCACTACTACTCTCTCATCTTCAAATAAGTCAGAAATGTAGTTTTGCCATTGTTTTAACTGTTCATTGATGTTTAATATTCTGTGTCCGTTTCTGTCTTATAAACTTTGGGATACTTGTTTCCGTTTGTTTCCAGCAACCTCTTTTAATTTCTTGTACAGATGAAATGCATCGTGTTTCTTTTCATATTGTTCAATTTCATTACAATCTTTACTATGAAATTGTGTTTTCGCGTGTCTTCTCTTCTGCCTGATTATTATGTGGATCCTCTTGTATTCGTTTTTATCTTTATTTCTGACTTCTTTTCTTTAATCCATAAGTCTCAGTATTTCTTCTGTCATTCACCCTTGTTTTTTTCTTGCTTTTAGCGCACTCAATTTTGTTTCTTGAACAGTCTTTAATATGTCTTTCATTCTCGTCCAGTTTTCCTCAGTACTTTCCTCTTTGCTTGATGTTAACTTCATTTTTTGTTCTAATATAGGGGAGAGTTGTCCAAAACGGGGACGTCGGATCAAACGGGGTCAGGCCACTTCTGTCAAGTGACGCTACAAAGAGCGACTAAAATTGGTATTACTAGTAGCAGGCGTTCATATTGCCATTACAAGTTGGTTTTCGAACAGTTAGTGATCTCTGCTTGGTTCAGCGAGTATTCGGAAGTTTTTCTAAATTTATTTAACTATTTTCTTGTGTTTTGTGGGTTCTGTAGGCGATTAATACTGGCAGGAGTAAACTCGGTAAGTACTTCTTTGAATTTGTTAGATTTTAAGCTTTCAATTTCACATTTATGTTGCTTGGTAGTCTCACGAGGAGTGCGGTAAACGCCATATTTTTACAATGTAGCGCTGTCGGACAAAACGTGGACATTTGAAGTTGTCCAAAACGGTGACGTCCCCTTTTACCCGACGCTTGACTATAAAATGTGTTGATTATTAAATAGTTTTACATCAATGTTTAATAGTATTCAAAGATATCCTATGTCTATAAAACTTTATATAGGCATTAATTTCAAATAATTTTGTTTTTGTTGAATTTAACTGTGTCTAATGTATGATTATGATTTTTATATATTTACTGATTTATATTATATGTGTTAATGATAAAGCCCAAGTTATGTGTTTTTTTTCAGATCTGACAATGGGCCGGTACAAAATGACGACGAATAGACAGAGCTGGAATGAAGAGAGCATGAAATTCGCTGTGCAAGTCGTTTTAGATGGGCAAATGGGGCACCGAAAGGATTCTGTATGCATTTCTAAAAAGGCATCCCATGACTTTCGCTGCGCTTTCCGGAGCAAACTTTCTTGGCGCGAGCTAAGGAATTCAATCGAGATACAGTTAATAATTTTTTCGACCTGTTAGAAGATATATTAAAGAAATATAACATTTTCCCTAAAGATATCTATAATGTTGACGAAACAGGAATCACGACGGTTCCTAATAAGGCATCAAAAATTGTAGCGCTGAGGGGAAGAAACAAGTAGGTGCTTTAGCTTCATCTGAAAGGGGAACACTAGTGACAGTCGAGACCTGTATGAGTGCTGCTGGAAACTATATGCCCACAATGTTTATATTTCCACGAAAAAGAGAAAATCCTACATTAATGAACGATGCTTCAGCAGGATCCTTTGCTTTCTTCCATGAAACAGGATGGATTACAACAGAGAGCTTTTTTTAGTTTGGTTCAAGCAATTTGTTAAGTTTTCAAACCCAAAACCAGACAAGCCTCAAAAAACATCAAATTTCGAAGCATCGATCAAAACCGCAGTTTTGACGTCTTCACCTTACAAGAAAGAACTAGAAGATTAAGAAAGAAAAATAAAAATGAAAAAAAAACCCAAAAAATTGTTTAAAACGTCTAAAATGCTGAATAAAACAAAACTGAAGAAAGTTGGCAACAGTAGCGATAAAGAAATCCTTCCAAAAACTGATATTGGTCCCACATTAAAAAAAATGAAGTTCGAAAACCAGAACGAGTCTTCCTCATCTGAAGAAGGGAGCAGTGATAAGGCTTGTATATTTTGCAGTAAGATTTTCTCTGTTTCTAAGGACAAAGAAGGGTGGATTAAGTGCTCAGGATGCTCTGGTTGGGCCCACGACGCATGTATAAATGCAGATGAAGAAGACGACTATTTCCTGTACGATTTCTGTGGACGTAACACTTAAAAACTCACAAAAAATTAATTTTAAATTGTTTTTTGTCTATGTTTTATCCTGTCACAAGACGTGTAATAAGTATTTGTAATAAACTTAAAATGTGTGCTATTGTATTTAAAATTTTAAAAAAGATAAAAAAATAGAAATAAAAAAAATCCATTGTTTTTAATGAGGTCCCCATTTTACCCGAACGGTGGTCTAAAACGGGGACATTTACATTTTTTCATAGTTTTAGATTTTGACCAAGTAATAAATAAAATAAGTCTGCCAAAACTTATTTAGCGGTAAAGTTATAATCACTAACTCTATTGCACTTTAAACAATGTTAATTACAGTATTCACTTCTTGTAAATCACTAAAAATACACTAGCGTCCCCATTTTGGACAACTCTCCCCTACTAGTTATTTCTTCTTTTACAGTATTATTTAACATCTTTTCTCTATCAATAGTAACTCTTTGCTTATTGGTCCTTGCAACTCTTTTCAATATCAGTCTTATTTTTCTTACTAAAATATTGTGATCTGTTGATACATCTGCGCCTGGATATGTTTTTAGTGATAATACTGAATTTCTGTATCTCTTATTTATACATATGAAGTCTATTTGGTTACGAACAACTCGTTCAGGTGTATCTGCTAGTGATTTCCAGGTGTAAAGACGACGTTTTGGACGTTTGGAAATTGTGTTTGTTATTACTAATTGCTTTTCTACGCAAAAAGATGCCAACATATCTCCTCTTTCATTTCCTATTCCCAGACCATATTTTCCTATGATATCTTCTTGTTCACCTTCACCAATCCTTGTATTAAAATCTCCCATGAAAATATTGAGATCGTGTTTCTTTGTAGGTGTTAATAGTTTTTTTAAATCATGATAGAATTTTTCAATTTCTTCTTGTTCATAGTCTTGTGTGGGTGCATATACTTGTAACATAATCACATTGATTGTTGTTGATTGTATTTGTATCATCAATATCCTGTCTGATAATAGGACGACGTTATTTACAGCTTCATCTGTTTCCTTCGACACAATTATTGCTACACCATTTTTGAAGTTTTGAGCTGTCTTCTCCTGAATAGTATACAATGTGATCATCTAGAGTTACTTTTCCAGACGCTGGGCATTTTATTTCACTTATTCCAAGGATACTTATATTTATACGCTTCATTTCTTTAATGGTGTTGTGAATTTTTCCTGGTTCGTACATGCTTCTTACATTGCATGTACCTATTTTTCTTTCTTTAGAAAATATGTTCATGTTTCTAGCTGATCGTGAGATTCTTTTTCCCATTCGCGTAGGTTTTAGGGTTTTTTTATTTTTTGGATGGCTGTTGCCATTTTGTTAGTATTTTTTGATATTTTTTGGTGGCCAAAGCCTTTATTTATTTATTTTTATTATTTTTTTTGAAGGTTGTCCTGAAAATAAATATCAATTAATAAAATTTCCAGTGCTTCGTGCTGCGGCTTCTTCTGTTGGTAGAGCTACGAATTATCTAGACTTTATGTGTTTGCCAAGATTTGCTGTTTTGTTCTTTTGTGCTTCCATGAAAGAAACGCATCATATCTTATTATCTCTCGCAGGATCGGGCTTGGATGATTCTCTTATTCTGCAAACCTAATTTTGGCTTTTTCTGCCATTTTATCTATCACCCTCACTTGTTGCAGTTATCTAAACAGAAAGCGTTCAGCGACGTATCTGGATACATTTGCCGCTTCTCTGGGGATGTTATTGGGGCTGCTTGTATTTTCTTTTTATTTGAATTGCTTATGTGTCCCCATGCGAGAGATGCATATGTGATTATTGGAAATCTGATGCTGTTTATTAGTCTCATTTTCGTCTTTATGCGCAGTTTGCTTTTTCTACCTACGAGTCCTCTTATTGCTGCTCTGGCTGTTGCTGTATTTTGAATGGTTTGTCCACGTGTTGCGTGAAGGTTCATTATTTCTAACAAATTATGCACGTTCCACATAATATATAGATAATAAATAGACGTAAAATGTCGAAAAACGTTAACGTTAGCTTTGATTGAACATATTTATGTTCAGAAAACAGCCTGTGTCAGCCTCTTCTACACCACATCTCATATCAATAACTTAAATTACAAGATGTCTGATTCCTCTTTTTTTTAGATGATGGTATTTATGAACAACGTAATGCACAGGAGAATATCCAAAATAGAGGTAAGAAAGATATATGTAAAAATCATCAATATTGGTACGTTCTTATAAAACACTTACATCATCATCAGATAGCGCTATAGCCTTTTCAGCCTTCCCTGTTGAGTGCCGGTCCTCTTCATCTCCTCACTCCAATCGCTTTCAAATTTTTATGCAGATCGCATCATCCTGATCTATGTGCATGGGTCATCCCCTTCTACTTCCTCACTACTATCATTCGTAAAACGTGGTCGACGTAACTCACCCACCCTATTTCCAAAGATCAAAGGCTTATAATTCTTAATGCGGTCAATAAAAATAGCTTTATTCTGAATATTTATTTAAAATCACAATTAAAATTTAGGTCGGTCAGATAGCTCAGCGGGCTGTGCGGCTGCCTCTCATTCGCTTCACTGTCGAATGGTTTAGTGGATGTGGGATCGAGCCCAAGCTCGGTGTACAGAAAACAAAAAGTCTAACGCAGCAGTTTAAAATTCTAGATGAATCTGCGGCTTAGACTAGGATATGCTGGGATCTGATCGGCCTATGGTGGAGCAGTACGGCAAGAGATAAGGGCTTGCGGCTTGGTGATACTCCTCCATAGATCCCTACCGGACAGGCGTAACGCCTAAAAAACCGGATATATATATATATAATTAAAATTTAGTAGAGATGATTATCATGATAAAGTGAACTCTGAAAATTCTAAAAAAAATGGCTAAAAGAAAAACTAATTCCGAATTTTCGATTAAGATCAATTTTAGTTATTTTACTAACACGACAATTTACCGTGTCATAACGATACTTAAAAATAATAAATGCCCCAATATGAGTTCGCGAAAACCTAACATGAAAACATAGCTGTTTAAAAATAATATTCCTTTTGACGAAGCGATGCTATAAGTCGAATTAAATGGTCTAATAAAACTAGTGAAACCAAGACTTCGAAATAGTGCGATTAATAAAATACTTGAAGATAAACTTCATGTAGCTTTGTGACTTCCCCCCTAGCATCCGGATTTGAACCCTATTGAATCCGTTTGAAGAATTGTTTATCTACGGCTAATTCATTTTAAATATGTTTATTGTAATACCGAACTACAGTCCTCTTCTTCTTCTTCTTCTTCTTCTTCTTTTTATGTAGACATAACTCTGTCTGTTTTTTTAATATGCCTCCAGTAAGTTGCCGTTCCATTGGTTTTGTGGTAATCCTACTGATCGTCCTTCTATTGTCCAAAGACCGTCTTTACTACTCTATTTGTTGTCATAAGGTAACAGGTAGGACTCCTCTAAAATCCGGTAGAAGATAGGCTGCTACAGGGCTTGGTGACCCTGCCCTATGCTAGCCGCTTACGTCCCTCCTTCCTATCATGAGGGAGTCAGGTCCTTATATTCTTTTCTGCCTTTTCCCAAACTATCTTCACCTACATCCTTGACCTAAACCGGCCTACAAGTCTTGGCAGGCGCGACAGATTTTAAAATCATGCCATATACCCCCTAACATAAAATGAAAATGTCATTATCTCAAACTGTATTATCCCAGGCGAGTAGGAAAAGGTTTCCAGAATCTCGCACTAAACTGCTAGTCTGTCCCACGGATGCTGGGGAACAAGATTTTGAGAAGTAAACATACCAAACTTAGAAAACCCTTAAAACTCAACGTCGCTAAATATAATGCTCGATCCCTAGCAACAGAAGAAAGAATCATAGCGATGGAAGCAGAAATGTCAAAAATTAAATGAGATGTGATAGGTATTAGCGAGATAAAACAACGAGAGGAAAGTCTGAAAAAACTAAAATCGTCTTTTATCAAGTCGGTAGTGAAACTGAAACGACGGAAGGCGTTGACTTTTTCTTTAAAAAACATGAAAACAGCATTATATCAGTAAAAAGTTACTCTACTAGAGTAACTTTTTTAATCTTACTTAAAACTAACTGAAACATATATTTTAAAAATCGTCCAAGTATATGCCCCAACAAGTAGCCATGTGCTGACTTCAACGCTAAAACGGGGATAAAGGCAGATGAGATAGAAACATCACTGGGAAAATTTGGTTTGGGAAACAGGAACCAGCGTGGTGAAACGTTGCTTAGTTTTCTGCTGGAAAAAAGACTATTTTTTCTTATACAAAAAAGGAACATCGATCATGGATGTGGCAAAGTTCGACTTGGAAACTTATAATCGAGATCGATTTTATGATCACTGACAAGAGGAAACGTACTGACAAAAGATGTTACAGTCCTGAACCAGTTTTCAACAGGTAGCTACCATAGAATGGTTAATAAGCATCGTACGAAATAATATATATAATAAAGATCGTATGATCAAAAGAAAATCTACACGTACCTGGTCAGAGCCTAATAATATAAATGCATTTGAAGAACACATCAGCAGCATTCTGATAAGGAATAAGAATAAGAATACAGACACAAATATTAACACCCTGAATGACATTATTTAGTCCCCAAACACATGCATTAATAGAAGAGAAGAGAAAAATGCAAAATTAATAGAAGCAAAGAACCTCATGAACTTAAAGAGATAAGTAAAGGAATTCAAAAATCTATTAGGATGCATAACCAAAAGCTTAAATTAATTGCTATTTAACTGGGAATAAGCCACAATTAAAGATAAAAATACGTTTATTGACGTTTCAATACTTTTTTCAAATTTTTTTCAATTTCAATTGACGGATATTCTCAAGTTAAAGTTGATTTCATGTAATCGAATGAACTATCTTATAAGCAAAGTCGTCCCAGGAGCGCAACTCAACAATATTGGCAATATCATTTTAAAGTCGTCTAATTTAAAATGCATAATGTATGTCTGAATTGTCAATATAAATGAGTCAGATAAAATTAAACAATTAGAAGAATTTTTCACTATGTAACAAAAAACAAAATTTGTTTAATTTACTGTTTGTATTTTGAGAACGATTTCCGAAGTTGAAATTGAAACGTCAATAAACGTATTTTTATCTTTAATTGTGGCTTATTCCCAGTTAAATAGCAATTAATTTGAAATGCCACAAGAAAATGGCTTCAGAACAATACAAAAGCTTAAAAGTGAACAAATCCAACAAAATATTGAAAATAACAAGACTCTCAAAGTTCTCAGGAGAAAATTGAAAAACGGTAAAAAAGAAACGATGAAATTAAAAAATAATGATGGAAATATCTAGACCAACAGAGATGATTTACTAAGGGTAGTAGAAGATTTCTATACAGAATTATACAGAAGTCAACAAAACTATGATAAGCAATTAACAAAAAAGTTAGAAAACTCAGAAAAAGATTAGTTAACCAAGAATCGGAATCGATGCCTGATATATCAACAAACAAAATCACAAACGCACTGAAGACAATGAAAAGAAATAAAGCGCCGTGAGAATATAATATCGTTATAGAAGCCGTAAAGGTTTGAAGAGACAGACTTCAGAGAATATAAAGAAATTGTTCTTATGTCTGCACCAAAGATGGCACAGTGCACTTACCATTATATTACACAAAAAGGGCGATCCAACAGGCCTCAAGAATTATCGACCAATAATCATGTTAAACCACCTCTACAAGTTATTCACAAGAATAATAACAAATAGACTGGCATCGTGGGAGTTGCTGCCAGTCATTTGTTGTCCTTGGGGTTATACGATCGTTCCATTTCTTACCCAGTGCTTAATGTTCTCCACCTTGCATTAACGTCGTACACAGATTGAACGAATTTAAAACGGATCATACAATTTAATATATGTCTGTTTGAACGGCATTTGAAATAGTGGACCAATATAAAACCTGGACAAAAATAAATCCATACCTGGGTTTAGACATTGTATAAAATATCGTTCAACTATATGTCTCTCAATAATGTTGTTTGCGTAACAATGTTGCCAATCGGCGTGTAATAATCCGATTTGCGGATCTTTTTGAGAGTTATATCTTCTTTGTATCTTTAAATAAATCGGATATTTGCCTATATTTTTCATTGTATTTACCAATCTACTACAACAGACTAATAACAAAAATAAACTTAATGGTTTGTAGTTATTTTCTTTTTTTCTTGTAAATATTTACCTATTATAATACCTTATTTGAGAAACATCTAAAGGAATGAGGTTGGCAACACCGCTCAAAGAAGGGCTTGTCTATGGAAACGATAACTGGTTTGACACCATAATAAAATCGTAGATTTATGTGTAGCTTTCAATTTTTATGATTTCAGAATCCAGCAGCTCGCTAAAGTATTGGATTTTTATAATATAATTATTTGACAACCTTTTGTTGGCCAACCACCTACAGCAAAATTGAGCCGAAATACATAATATTTCGTATGTTCCAAATTTATTTCGTTCAATCTGTATATGTACTTATAGCTCTGTCGCATAGTATTTTACCATTGATTTTTCCAGGTATTTTCATTTCTGGTGGTTCTAACATCCTTTTTGTCGTCTCTGTGTCAGGTCGTGTTTCTATCTCGTATGGGAATATTGGTGATGAATGTTTTGTAAATTGTATAATTAGTATACAGTTACTTAGTATATTATATTATTTATTAGGTGTACAAAATAACTGCAGCCTTCGACAAAATACAACACGGAAGGCTTGCAAACATATTACGGGGCACAGAAATAGTTTATTAGGATATGAGGATCTTTAAAAAATTATATTGATATCAGAAAGCCGTAATACTAGTAGACCAACAAAAATCTTAACAGATACCTATATATAAGAAGATGAGGACGACAAGGATGTGTACTATCCTCTCTACTTTTTAATATGTGCTCAGAAGAGATGTGTAAAGAGGCACTAAAAGACATCAATGAGGACATTAACGGAACACTAATGAATATTCTGGGATATCCAGACGATACAATTTTCCTTGCAGACAGCAGAGATTGGCTGATAATTTTGGTTGATCACACTACGCAGTACTGCGAGAGGTATGGAATGGCTTATAACACAACAACAAACAAAAACAAAAATTATGATTGTCAGTAAGAACAATATTAAAGACGAACCAATCTACGTTAAAGGAAAAGATTTAGATAAAGTACCCGGATAAAATTACTTTTGATATGAGCTAAATGAACAATGGAACCGCAGCCTTGAAATAAAATGACGTACTGAAATAGTCAGAAGCGCTTTCAATAAGATAAAAGCAGTATTATGTAATGGAAAACTGGGAATGGAAATTAGAACTAGATTATTTAGATGCTACGTAGTATCTGCCCTTTTATATGGAGTTGAAGCCTGGACAATTATGAACGCAACTGAAAAAACATTTGCCAGCTTTTGAATTAAGAAAAAATATTAAGAAATATGAAAAAAGAAAACGAAATACTCAACATATGAAGGAAAGAAAATTGATCTACTTTAGTCACATACTAAGAAATGAAAAACATGAGTGGAGTGGAAAACAACAATAGAACTCTTTAGAATTGCTGCAGACAGAGTAAAATGGGCCATGATGAAAGGATGAGGAGCACGAAGAAGAAGAATAGCTGCAAAATAAATAAATGCAAATAATTTTCTCTTTAATATACCTAAGTTCTAATTTAAAATTCAACATAAATATTTATTTACCTTCTCAAAATTCCCAAGTTTAAAAATCCGGCACTGTATTGAAACTTACGATTTTAAGATACAGTACAGACCGGTGATGTCTTGTATTTTATTTTATCTGAATACTATGTTCCGGTCACGCACATGTGACAAAAGTGGACGGCACTGATATGTAATGGTCGATTCTTACATCAAAGTTTTAAATACATTTGTAAAAATAAATATTGGTAATGATTTATTTTACTAATGTATTAATTTCGGTGTAATGTATAAATAATGTATAATGTACTAATCCGTGATTTGTAATTTCAGAACAAAAAATAGACTACAAACCTAATTTAGGAAGGCAGCAAATATCAAACACTGTAAGGAATGATGGTAAGTTCAAAAGTTTATAGTGATTGACTCATAATCTCAAAATCATATTTCCATATTAATTATGCTGTATGAAAACAATTTTCTTTTCGTTGGTTAGTTATAGCCCGGTTATATTTATTTGATAAAAATGCGATAATGCGATTCACTTTGACCAGTGAAGAACAGGATAGTACCGATATACATCAAACATAATATGGTATATTTTATAGGAAATTGGTTCTATAAATTTGTATTGTTATAAACAAAGCTTAATTTTATGTCTTGATGATTTTGTGTAAGTTTAAATTACTTTAATCATATTTCTGCAATGCATTTTCCATAAAATGTTTAAACAATAATTGGTTTGTATACAAAAAGGAATTAATAATTAAGCGAAAGGTAGGTAGTGAAAGATAAAAAATATATAATTAAATAATTTATAAAACCTTAAATTAAAAATTAAAGTTTATCTAGTCAACACTTACATTATTATTTTCTCTTAAGAACTGATTTTCATAAGTGTTCATAATAAGGCCACGTTTTTCTTAAAAAATTGAAGCAGTAAGTAGTTTGGTGTTGAACATATGTCGATAATCCCTACACCTGATTAGTTGTCTTGGTATTACACTTCGTCACTTTCTTCCTCTGGATCACTGTGAATAATTTTGTATAAAGTACCTCTACTAATTGGTCTTTAGTGTAACAATCTTTAAAACAGAAATCTGGTGATAATAAAAAATCTTGCAATTCATGCTTTCTAGAGTATTTATTCGGATTTTTTTAAGTTTTCTAGAATTATATGATGCATTATCTAAAACAATATCACTGTTATCTGCTAAATTTGGTAATAAGTTATTTTTAAACCACAATTCGAAAAGGTCACCCGTAATATCTTGATGATAGTCCAAACAACTGTCTCATGTCTTTTGCAGTTAATAGTAAGCCATCGGTTACCCAACCATCTTCCCCTCCACAATGTAAAATACATATTTGTTTGCCCCTGAAAGCTGGTACATTAACTTTGCACTGTACATTGTCATAACTCCAACATTTGCCAATTGTTTTGTTAGTGTCAATCCACATTTCATCTAAGTAATAAACTTTTCTTCCGCTATTTCTGTACTCGTTTATCTTTTCCAAATATTCATTATACCATTTTATTAAACGGGCACTTGCCATTATAGTATGTCGTTTATTGATTGTTTTATACTTAAAACCATTTGATAATAAAAATTTTCTTGAAGTTGATTTACAGCCATTAATATTTTTAGATTTTAATTCAGCTAAAATTTGGTTAAGTCTGGATATTATCTGCAAACATATTATAAATGGTTTCTGAAATGGGACTTAAAAGATGTTACTCAATAAATCGATGTAGTCCAAAATCGCTCCTTTTTTGTCTATTCGTAATGCCCTCCTTTATAATTTGATATACAGTAGCACATGATATTTTTGTTAAAGCCGCAGTTTTTAAAACACTCTCGTGCCGTTCCAGTTATTCACATAATCCATTAAACACATTTACCACAATTTCTTTAGTAGCGTCTTTCTATAAATGTTTTTTTTTTCTGGCTTTTTAATACTTTCTCTACTTGGTTCAGCAACATTTTTAGGATTATTTGGTGGTAGAATTTCCTCATTTTCTTCAATAATTTCTACTTTATTATTCTCAACAATTTATAATGCATTATTCTCCCATGGATGGCACATTTTTATTTACTTAATATTTTTCTGATAGCGAAATCGTCACTAATAAATACGTGCTCTCTTTACAGAGTTTAAACTAAAAATTATATGTATAACAATACCGAAAGCCACATCAGTCTTGTTATCGGTTGTTTAGAATTTCGTAGAAATTTAAAAACCTTGATCAGCACAGCAGTGCATAAACTCAAACTTTTATTGATAGGTATAAAAAGGAGCTTATATCGACAACTTTTAGCAGGAGCGTAAATAGAAAGATTATTTACAAAATTATATTTTACAGTAATTATTTTTGCGTTTTTCATGATGATGATGATGATTTTTGCGTTTTTCTGAATACTATCCTGTAACAAGGCAAAATATAATGACATTAGAAGTGTTACACCCTGAAGGAATAATTTTTGAACTTAATTTTTTGGCAAAATGGTAGATTTACATCAAGAATGAAACGATAACGTTGTCAAGAATTTTTATTAACAAAAAATAAAAAAAATTATATTGTGTTTGGCGACCTCCTAGCTGAATACACTCCTGTATACATCTAGGCATTGTCACAATGAGATGATCGATATCTGCTTGTGACACCTCGTTCCAAGCAATTTTAACTTCATGTATTAACTATGCCAGAGTCTGTGGAAGATGATGCAAAGTGCACAGTCTCCTTCCCATCATATACCATCATATTCCATACATTTTCTTCTTCTTAGGGTGCCTGTCCGTTCTGGCTATGATGACTTTGTTGGTTGCTATACGAAATAGCTGTGTTGAGGTCTTTCTATACCATGCTCTCAGGTTAGCAAGCCAGAATATTCTTCTTCGTCGTGGGGCCCTTTTCCTTCAATTTTACCATGTAAAATGCATTGAAGTAGCTCGTATCTGCCTTGATTTCTCATTATATGGTCCAAGTACTGCAGCGATTCAGTACTGCGGCCCTTCACGATGTTGACCAAATCCGCAGTTGTATTCATTCTCCGCAGTACTTCTTCACTGGTGACTTTGTCTGTCCATGGTATCTTCAAGATCCTTCTGTATGACCATAGCTCAAAAACCTGAAGTTTTGATAGAGTTTCCGCCTTCAATGTCCACGTTTCTACTCCGTACAGAAGCACTGAGTACACATAACATTTAAGGAGCCTTATTTTTGTTTCTAGTGTGAGATCATGGCTCTTGAAGACAGAAATGCACTCTTTGCCTTTCCGATTCGAGATTCAATCTCCTGGGTCCCACGACTCATTATATATATATATATATATATATATATATATATATATATATATATATATATATATATATATATATATGTATATATATCCGGTATTTAGGCGGCACACGCCCTTCCGGTAGGGATCTATGGAGGAGTATCACCGAACCACAAGCCCTTATCTCTTGCCGTACTGCTCCACCATAGGCCAATCAGATACCAGCATATTCTAAACTAAGCCACAGATTCATTTAGAATTTTAAACTGCTGCGTTAGCCTTTTTGTTTTCTGTACACCGAGCTGGGAATTGAACTGACATCTCTCGCATTGAAGCGAAGGAGAAGCCAGCCGTCCAGCCCGCTTGGCTATCCGATCGACACAAATATATAATATTAATTATAAATTATTACAGAAAAGATATTTATTTAAATTAAAATATGAAACGACTTATTTCTTAAAAGTTTTTACACTCTGAATAAATAGTTTCAAAATAAATTTTGGAACGAATCGTTTTGTACTTTACAAGAAAAATTAATAATCAATTATATAATTATATAAATAATATAGGTATATTAATCAATAAAATTTAAATATTTTTTACAAAAAAATAGTAAACTCTAATTCTTTTATGAAAAAGATTATCTGATTAATTTCTCTGCGATTTTATAAAAAAATGTATCTAATTAATTTTTCCGGGATTAGGTGGCGTAACAAAAAAGTGGCGTAGAAACAGAGATATTGCATATTTTTTCAGTGCGCTTCAATTTAAAGTTCATTTGAAGTGACATTCTAAAAAAGCACGAGGCTCGGACAGGAGGTATTTTACGAGTACCATTACATTCATGGGTTATACCTTTTTAGTCCTTCTTTGTGCATGCTATCTATAAAATGGATCATAAAATTTAGATCTTCGTTTATAACCTGTTCAATTTCCAGCTCTTAATATTAATAAACAATGGAAATATGATTTTAAGAAAAAAATGCCATCTTGGTTCCTATTGGTCATAAAACGTTCTTTTTTAAGAATGGGTTTTTTAACCATCTTTTCAGTGAGCCTACTTACAAACGCGTGGCATAAAAAATATCAAAGTTATTATAAATGTTTGTACATTGTGTTATAAATGCTAAAAAGTCAGTCATTTTCAAACGGTTTTTTTTTTGATAAAATTGTTTTATATTACTTAAAACTGAAGCCTCAAAAACTTAGTTGACTCAAAGAAAGTTGTTTAAATAATCACTCTTTGGGATAAACAAATTGAATAACTTACAGACTATTTGGTCGATCTAGCTGAGATTTAGCACACTTTAATAATTTATTTTTCTTCTCCTAGTGCCGTCTTCACTAATGAAGATTGACTATACCCATTGCAAATTCGTATCTATCTTCTGCTTTTCTTAAGAGCGTCTGTGTATTTAACCCGGTCCAGTCACGAATGTTTTTCAGCCAGGATATTTGTTGTCTACCAGGACCCCTTTTCCTTCGATTTTACCCTTCATAATTAGCTGCAACAACTCGTACTTATCATTTCTAAATATGTGTCCAAAATATGTTGTCTTTCGCTTTTTAATGGTGGTCAAAAATTCTCTGGTTCTTCTCATTCTGTGCAACACCATTTCGTTCGTAATATGATCGGCCCATGGTATCTTCAAAATTCTCAAATCTTCAAAAAAAGAATAATCCATTAATTATTCAGAATCCAGAATTTCAAGTACATATATATATATATATATATATATATATATATATATTATATATATATATAATTCTTTGGAGGGTAACTTTCGGGAAAGCGTCAAAACAAGGATCAGCTAGAGATGGTATAAGCCAGCTTGGTGTAGAACTTTATTCTATATGTGAAATTTTCGGTGATATGTTGTCACCTTCATCAGCACCTAAATGGAAAACCTATTATAGTACAGTGGTGGAAATCAACATTTAAAAACCTACATTGAAAATGTTCAGTTGGTCCTAGTTGTAAAAAACACTGTCACAAACATGTTAAAAATATTAAAAAATACATTTAAAATTTTGAATAAAAACATTACAACAACAGGGTAGTTTTTCAAATACAAACACAACAAAAAGTCTAAAATTTACAACCTACAAAAACTACAA